TGACCATCAACTGCTATAGCTACGGCCAAGTGGCCATTCCACCTTCCATTAAGTGTTGTAACATCTATGCTCAAATGAGACCTACAACCTTCCAAGAAACCATCAATGCATGGTTTAAGAGCGTAGAAAAAATGGTGAAAATATACTTGACCATCCACCTCAAGTACCTCAATCTCCACAACACTCCCGGAGATGTGTTTCATTACCTCAGCCTTCCACCTAAACAACAGCTCAAAACTCTCTTCCCATTTGCCATAAACCTCGGCAAGAGCTCTTTCTTTACCCTGCCATATAGTGTCATATGCAATTGTGACCTTGTGATTTGTCTGCAACTTCTTTTACAATTCCTTAGCACCGATATTTGGATCATCTCTAAGGATACTCAGAGCCTTGCTAGCTACCCACTTCGGAGACAGAGTTTTAGTTATTGTCCTCATGGTAGACGCACATGTATGGTGATCGACCAAAACTGTTACCTGCAAAACACAAAATCAATGAGATTCATATTAATTTACAGGAAAAGTAGAATTAATGAAAACAAATAAATTTATTGACCTCTACAGTGCTTTGGCCTTTATGTTTGATGCCATTTATTCTCCAAGGGAAATCACCACCGGACCTGCAATAAGCCCTCTCGTCGTACATGACTTCTCAGTTCCTAAATCAAACTCCTTATTGATAGCAAATTGTTGCACTACCATCCTAAACTCATCCATTGTTGGGTATATTGTACCAATATCCATTGGGGGTTGTTTTTATCATATGAAATCACCATCTCACTTGGTATAGCATCACTTATAGGAATGACGGCACCCTCAGTATCAACACCCTGCTCATTATCAACACACTGCTCATTACCAACATCCTGCTCATTCATTTGGCCTTCATCAACGTGTGTCACCTCTTCTCTCAAGCCTAGAGTTTCACACATCTGCTTTTCACTCACAAGTCCAATACGACCTTCGTCGTCATGTGTCTCCACTATCTGTAAGCTATCTCAATCAACACTTTGCACATGATCTACTTTAGACCTAAACAAGTGAAATCAATTTTAATACCATGACCCTACTACTTTACAGGTAAAATAACATAAATAAATAACACCATTACCTTTGCACATCAACAATAGGAAGATTGTACTGTACTGTCGATGGAGGAGCAGTGGGCAGCAATGTTCTCGCTAGGGCTAGGGCTAGGGCATTGGACATGGCGTCGGTACGAGCAATCGCAGCGGCCTCCGGTGGGGCTTCATCAATCATGGCGTCGAGGTTGGGTGCGGCCAGGGCTGAGGGCATCATGTCTAGGCGAGAGGCCAGCACGGCCCACCCTATGGCCATCACAGATATGCCAAAGGCCGACGTGGCCAACCCTATGGCTGTCGTGGCCAGGCCAGAGGCTGACGCGACCAACCCTATGGCAGTCGCGACCAGGCTAGACATTGCCGGCATGGCCAGAACTGAGGGCGCCATGGGTAGGGACAAGGCCGGCAGGGCGGCACTGCTTGGCCATCCATGGAGAGCGGGCGACCATCCTCTTCGTCGGGCGGTAGAGTTCCATCCATGGGCGTCGAGGGGACGGCGGTGTCAGGGTCGGGGGTTACGGAGGGAACGGTGACGTCGGGTTGGGGATGGAACGGCGGCGTCGAGGGTTAGGGCATTGGGAACATGAACGATCAGGCAGATGGAACGTCGAGCAGATGAAACGATCAATGATATGTAAGACCAGAAAGATAAAAGGGTCACTTTGGGGAACAAATATATGTATTTAGATGAGAAAAGAGTCTTAATACACTAAATGTCATGGAAATCAAGAAGCCAACGTTTCAAGGCTTTTTTACGAAGACAATGTTTGGAGTCCTATATTTGCGAAGCGCATTGTTTGGAGTCCTAAATCTGCAATTTTCTCGCGGTCAGCAGGGCGGCGTCTAGAAACCTCTCATCCATTCCATTCCCTTTCCTTCCCCGACGCGCGATCACAGGTGTTTACACCAAAATTTGGGAGAAGAGCGCGAGAACTCGCAGGCTTCTAAGATTGTGCCAATTAAGGAGTCGATTGCGTAAGGATTGATATATGTCGGTTCGGATACGACACTGGGATCAGTTCTCTTTAAATGACGTCAGCAGATAACGATGATGGGATATGATTGGCATCGAGAAGATACATATCGGACTCTATAAAAGAGAAAAGATTAGAGTCCAAGTTATTTTAAAATAGGAATGTTTTTTTCGTACCAAAGATTGTACTGAGTCGTACTCGAGTAGAATTCATTTTTAGGCTCCAGGTATAAATATCAAACCTCGACTAATGTAAAGAACACACAATCAATCAAATACAAATTATTTACTTTTTTCGGCTTCGGCCACCCTTTAGGAGTAGGAGTATAGTAGATCTCGGCGAGTCCTTCAGCAAGTACGGCTATATCGATCCGATCGACCTCCACTGCTTGTCTGTAAGTACCGTCATGATTTATACCTCTGTTCGTACGGCTGCATCGATCCGGTCGACCTCCACTGCGACTCTGGTATAAGTTAGTTATCGACTCTTGTCTAGTTCAAGTAAGGCTGCATCGATCCGGTTGACCTCCACTGCTCGAACTAGATTAAGGTCAAGTTATCGGCTCTATCTAAGGGTGGCGTTCCTTTGGATAGATTCATTAAGTTACCGATATTGCTTATTGTTTCTATTATTTATTTAATTACAGCAATATCACTTCGCCTGATTAGGATTGCTCTAGATTGGCCTTATATCATTTTTAACCCATCGTTTGTTAATCTGAATTTGATCTAATCTGCACTTTAAATGATGAGTTATGTTTTATCGGCTGTTTTATATCAATCTTGATCGTACATAGCGTACGGTTAAGACGTGTCTGATTTTGAGTATATCTATTGGCTAGCGAAAACCATTCCATGGCCCGTTATCACGGCCTGTGTGATTCTGCCTCACACCCCCACTGTTAGCACCGTGGAGTGGAGATCGTTATTTGATAGATCTGTTCCTGAGAGGGCATAACATTAACTGTGCGCTATGCCTGAATCAACTGTTTTAACCGATATCGAGTGTTTTTACGAACAGTTCACGTCACGAGATCGTTGAAGTAGAGATAGGTTGAAAGATGTGTTAGCCCCATGATCTTATTATTGTATTACGACATGCATGATTCTACCTCATGCCCCACTGATATTAGTAATAAGTTAGGGTTGTCGAATCTATTATTGTTTCTACGACCTGCATGATTCTGCCTCATGCCCCACTAGTCATAGCGATAGATGAGATCTAATATATTCATTAGATTTATCTTTATTAAATGGTTAAATGATGATGAACTGTTTCTTTTACATAAAAAGAGGTTCGGTTACTTGCAGTCATTGTCTTAGTATAAATTAATCATTGTTGACATCCTTTTGCTATTGACCAATATTTGTCTAAATAATGATATTCATCCTGAACGATAACCGATTGCTCTTACACAGTCCCATGAGCTTTAACTGATTTATTCTTATGAATATGCTGGAATCGACTATTTAGTCGATCTCCTTTCATATCGGCTCTCAGAGCCGCACATTCGGGACTGTCTGGCAACACCGGCACGTTCCGCCCTAAATTACTGATAAACTTTCTCTACTTGTCAATTGCAGGGTCAAATTGACTGGCACGTCTCGGGAGGAGTGCGCATAATCGACCACCCCTGCGCTGAAGCTAGGCGGATCTCCAGCTCCATCTAGCCGATCCTTTTGACTTGCTCGTGTGCCCTCGGCATGGGACGAAAATTTCGTGCCGACAACAGGCTTGGGTAGACCCACCAGACACGCGATCGCAGGCTTGGCCCTGCGCTGCGGAATCCCAGGCTTGGGCAGACCCACCTGCCGGCGCCGCGGGATCGCACGGGGAGGCACAGCGACGACCTGACGTCTTTTATCGCACCATTCAGTTGTCTTAGTTTTGTTTTTTAGTTACGGGAGAAAAGCAGGATTACAATTAGCGGCAGCTAATCCCATCAACCACTCTCAGATATAGTCTAACCAGAAAAGGGCACGTTCAGTGGCTGACACCATGTGTGCACAATTATGGACCACTGAGTTAGCATCCATACACACCCACACAACTCTGAAATCAACAAAACCCCTGCCTAGCTCTGTAACATAAAAACAAATGCCCCAAGGACCTCATCCCGTCGCGGTCATCAAGTAAGGACTTCAAACCGCTGCAATCTACTTCTAGGATGACTCTTTCATATAGCCATTCTCCCCAGCTAGCTCGAGGGCTTGGGCTCGTTTGGTCGAGGCAGAAGCGGTATGTGATGGAGTCCGTCTGGTTCCGGCGGGGAGACGAGGGAGCACATTATTGTGGAGACTTATGGCTTATTTGGCACAACTCAACTTTATTAGTAAAGCTATTTTTTTTTAAAAACAGCTTCATAAGCAACTTTCTAGATGAAGCTGAGCTGTTTTGAAAAAATTGTTTGGTAAAATAGCTTCATGCATGGATGGGAGAGAGAAATTATGGAGAGAGCTAGGATAAACTACTTTTTTCAGCTTCATCCTAACTCATGTCTCTGTGAGAGGAGAAGAAAAACAACTTCATAGATAAAGCTATTTTAAAAATAAATATTTAGTAAATAAAACAGCCCATAAAACTGTTATGAGCTGTGCTACTCACCAGTGCTGCTGGTTTCACTTTGGCGGGGCAGAGACAAGAATCGATCAGAAGTTGGTTTCACTTTTAAGCAATGATGAAGCGAAGTTTCAAAGAAAAAAAAAGTCAAACCATCCCTTCGGCAGAGGAACCAGGCCCATCCGCGCATGGGCCAACTAAACCTGCCTGACGGACTCATGCGGCCGGGCCAATTTCACGCAGGATCGGTCGCAACGACGAACCCACCGGCCCAGCACAGCTATAGGGTTTATTATTGGCATCTCTCTCCGTCCCCGCACTGCTCTCCTGTCGCGCCGGTCACCACAGCGCAGAAGAACACAGCACCCGCCTGCCTCGCCGCCACAATGGCCGCCGCCGCCTCCGCTGCGAGATCCTTCATCCGGTCCAGCGGCTCGTCGTCCCTCCGCAGCGCGGCGGCCAGAGCCGCCTCGCGTGCCGGACCTGCTCCGCTGCCGAGGTGGATGCCAACCTCTGCCCCCCGCGTACTCCTAAGGTGCGCACTATCTTAGGTTTTGGGCCCGTGGAGCCGTTGTATTTTTGTCCTTTTTTTTGGCTTGCTCTGTTTGAAATTGTTACTCAGATATATTATTGTCTGTTGTTTCGTTGTGTAGGTCGCCGGTGGAGATGAGCAGCGTGTGTCTGGAGTCCCTTATGCCCATGCACAGCGCCACGGCTTCGGCGCTCATGACGTCGCTTCTCGCTGCCCCGGCTTGCAAGGGATTCGGTTGGCTATCAGAAGGTGATTTGCCCTGGTCTCAGTTTCATTTCCTTGCTTCGTAATGTTAGATTATAATTTGTTATTTACCATATTTGCTTGTTGCCACATAGGAGACAGCTTAAGCCCGATCACAATTCGCATGCTCACCCGTTTTCCTTCTAGATGCATATCTTTTAGATCATCCAGAGTAGTGATAAGAATTTGATGTTTCTGGGGGTAATTTTGGTCTCAAGCAAGATTGCTGCAACAAATTTAGCAAAAGCCAAGTTAATGCTGTATGACCAAACAAACAGGCTATCACTTTTTCCTTGATTGACATTCAAGCTCCCACAATGGGACACCAACCTGATTCTTCTACTCCTGTCAACCTATTTTTTCTGCTCCTATGTCCGATTTAGTTCAATTTAAATGAATACGAGCTCACATTGCTCTGACTAGGAGTACTGAAGCTCTGCACAAGATAATTTCCGTACCATTGTAGGATGTCCTAAAAATATGTTTATCATATATATTACATAATGTATATTTAGCTTACATCAGATCACCTTTTACATAAAACCAGCTTTACATCCTTTTGGAGTCCTTGAGTTTGATTGCTCTAGATGTTTTTCAAATTTTACCTCTATAACATAGCCATTTTTCTAGTTAGACAAGCAGTTTCAAACATTTTTATATGAACAAGGGTAGGACAGTGTGTGTGACTTCCTCACGTAGTTCCTAAGGTTTGTGCCTATATGTGTTTTTAGTTTGCCTTTAGTACCCGTCTCATTAACACCACGGAAGCCATAAACATTTTCTAATTCAAAACTGAAATAGGGTAGCAAAGTTTTCATATTGAAATTAATCTTATACTTTCCACATGGCCATTGCTGTAGGTCAAGATAGATGAACTTCAGGGACCCAAAAGGTGAATAATTTTTAAAGATTCCATCAATAATAGCTGTTGATGGCTAGGTTCCATCACTAGTTCACGTGTCAGAATGATTTGTGGAAAGAAGAGCCTGCTATCTTTATCTTATGGAATTGCATCTAAATTCATCTATTGTGAACTACTGCACTCGCACATTAAGATGTACAATATGGAACAAAAGAAGTCTGCATTTTTATGAGCCATACATTGTATTGAGCCATACATTGTATTGAGCCAGGTATTTTAATTGCTCCTTGTGGAATTGCAAAATGCTTTATCTAGGGCTGCTGTGCCACGATTGTTGTGCCGTGTCTAAGATTCCCATTGTCACTATGAGCGATCTCTTATTGATTTTGTGGACCTTTTGGCAAAACGAGAGATTTCTTTCCTGGGTGGACTTTTGCCTGTGGTTTGCTGAAGTCGAACTATTGGTGGATTTAAGAATAGCATTTATAAATTTGAATGTAACATCATCATTAATTACAAATTTGAGGAAAAAAAAGGAGACTGATTATTTTGTATTGGCCCAGCTGGTAATGATGACGTGTGACAGTCTCTAGATGGAACGTAGCAGATTATTATCCCGTCACCTCAGATCTACAGGTCCGTTCCGATTTTAGGGAACATCCATGATAAGATATGTTTATTACAAATTTCTAGCAAATTTCCATTTTTCTTACAAAATGTCCTCTGTGCTAGTTGATTCTGATAGGCATAGCAAGTAATAATGAGGTTATTTCTCCAATATAAATATTGTTTCTCTTTACTGTATGTTTCTTGACTTTATTGCATCTCTATAGGCCTGTGGTTAGTGCGATGGAGGACATCTTGGATGAAGACTAGACCGTGCTATTTGTTTTGCCATCTCTGTTGCCTTGGTTTTGCCCATTATAAATGAAACATAGAGCAAATGTAGCTTTCATCGCTGCTAACTTTTATGATGCTAGTTCAGAGCTTGAGCTCAGATTATTGTGTTTCTATTTGTAGATGGATGATTTGTCGTTATTGGAGACCTGCAGTGATGGTATCTGGTCTGGATTATGGAATACCTCGTGAATAAAGTACTTGGCATCTCAGTTAACATGTTTTGTGCTCTGGAATTCCAGTTTGTATGAAATTTGCAGAATTGTTCCTGAGATTTATTTTGGCTGATTAGCTGTCAAAAAGACTTTGGTCTTGATGACCTGCCTGATCATGTAGATCTGGAATGAATAAACTTGATTAAAGGCTTTTCACACTTTTTGCGTTTTAGTCTAAGCGTAGTATGTTCAAATGCTGATTTAGCTTCTAAGTTGTCCCAAGGACCCACATGGTTTCTTGACGTGGAGCTGGTGCTCTTCAGTCTTCACCTTATCTGCATCCGGTGAATCCTTTCCACGGTAGTCCTCTTCCGGTTTCAGATGATAGTTTACTTCAGCTTGATCATTAAGTCAAATTACACCAGCTTAGTTCAATTTTATAAAAAAATGCATCATCTATAACATTATATTAATTTCATCAAGTTCTTTAGGTAGTGAAATTATTGAAACCTGTAGGTTCAATATTTTTTTTCTTCTAAGGAAGAAGTCTATTTTTCTAAAAATAATAAAATATATGGTTAAATCTCTAAAAAAATAACTAATTCATTTTAAATAAAAAGTAAGAAATTAGTACCATTTTGTTTTTTGTAAAAATACAATCTATCTATTTGTGCTCTATTTAGAGCTCTTCTTAGTTCTTGTTACTAGTATTTTATTGCTCATATAGTTGCGACCATTATTTATTTAAATTATTGTGGTGCTTTCATTTATTTTGATTGCAGGTTTGATGCCCCGTTTTTTTGAAACCTGTTTTTTTTACTATACTCAAGCAATTCAATTAAAGTAAATCACTACTAAGCATGAAATGTCTAAATACGATCTATATATGGTGGAGAATGGCATCTGCGAGGTTAGCGTCGCCTTTGAGATCTTTCGTGTACTCGGAATCCATTGGACCTTTTTTTTCTAAAGTACCCTTTTGGTTGAACTTCTAGTCAAATGTAGCACACAACGAATAATGTAAATAAATAGTGGTCGTGACTACGAGCAACAAAACATTAGCGTTGTAAACAGGTAATAAGATCCAAATATCTCTAAATAGAGCATCATAAAATAGATTATATTTTTAGAAAATGTTTATACTTCTTTTTATTTTTTTAGATGATTTGCAATGTTTAATCATATTTTTATTTTAAAAACATATATAGGCAAAACCACTTTGAAAAACTAGCCTTATGGATACTTCGATGCCCAGTTTTGAAAATCGATGTTCACAAACCGTCGAGACCCTACAATCGCGCAATAGCGTCGTCTAAGAGGAAGGTGAGGACGAGCTCACCCAGAACGCCCTGGAAGAAGTTCGGCTCCGACACCTCCATATAGTAAATCACAACAATAATACAAGGTGATGTTTATACGGCACGCAAGCTACTGATGAGAACTGGATAATCTCTCTTTTGGTGCACCTACGTGAGTGCTGCATATACCCTTGCAACAACTGATCATGCTCTCTTTGTGAAACATGTACAAGTTCATTAATTTTTTCCTTAGAAACTACTAATGAAACCATGCATTCAAAGAGTTGGATCTATAGTGCAATTACTCTAGAAACTGTGAATATATTTGGAGGAAATCATAAAGTTGCAGCAAGGTGAGAAGCAACGACAGGAGAAACCGAGGGCCCGCTGGAGCAAACCGCTGGAGGGGGTTCTGAAACTGAATTGTGATGCCTCCTACTTTGTGGAATCCAATTCAGGTAATGGGGCTTTCTAATTCGTGAAAGTGATGGAGATGTGATCCTAACAGGAAGAGGGAAGGTTGATTACCTGTTGAGTGCTTTCCAAGCCGAGCTAATAGCCTGTCTGCAAGGCGTCCAAGCGGCGCTAGACTTGGGTATTGGAAGATTGATTCCGGAAACAGATGCTTTGATGGTACAGCAAGATTTTTTTTCAGCTGAACCCTGCGCTAGACCTGAAGGCAACATGGCTGATGACCTGAAGGCCCTTGTGCACTCTAATTTTCTACAGTTTGAGTGTGTGTTTAAGAATAGGGATTGTAATAGAGCTGCCCATGCTTTAGGTTATGAGTGTGTTGAAGGTGATGAGCTCATTACTAGCCCCACCCCGAGTAATGTACTTGTAATTGTCACTGCTAACATTGCAGCAGCTGAGTAATGCAATTCCCAGGTTAAAAAAAAGAACAGTGCATTGGGATTGCCCTAAGCACTGGACTGGCCCCAGCGGCCAGTGCTACTGCGTGCGCACGACCGCCGGCACGAGTCATGGCCCTCGTCCGTCTAGTCTTGGCCGATAGTGTCCGGCTCTCCGCCTCCGCCTGGTGGCTCGAGCAGTCGAGCCATCGAGGCAGCAGGCGCCTGGATGGAGTTGGAGCGCACTGCCAACCCGGGGGACGACACGATGAGTCAATAACTCAAGCAAACACCAGCAGCTCGCTACATCAGGACGACAAATACGATGGATAAATTTGGCAGCAGTACCTTCGGTAAAATGGATCGCTCATCTGATCGGTCACATCCAGGAAAATTCCTTCCAGCAACCTTTATACCTTCAGCAGGGCAATAGCACTCACAACACAGTTGCTAGCACAAAAGATGTAGCTTCCAGCAGAGGTTAACAAATAAGTCACCAGAGCTCACCGGTGGTGCTGCAATAGAATCAGCTACACACAACTAGCTCTACCAATGTACAAGAATTGAAGACCCAAATTGCCAAAATCACAAATCTGGACTCCTAAACTAGATAGCTATAAAAGCTACTGGAAGAGTTCGATATGGATCTAAGCTATATCAGTAAGCACAGAGCCCTTCCACACTGAATTGCTAAGCTGTACATAGGAGATAGAGGCATAGAGCACCGCTGCTACACCACAAGTCTGCGACAATCTGGGTCAGAACCTGTTCAGGAAAACTCAAAACAGTCAGCACCCAGCAACTGCACGTCCTAAACTAAAAGTACACATAGCACTATTTCCACTTGCAAGTTTACAAAGTTTAACTGCCGCTATCAGCACGATTATTATCCAATATGCTATATGGGGATATTCTGCTCCTATTGCGGTGACCATGAAACAAAGATTTTGTTCAAGTTTTGGATGCCATTTTATTTTTTTATAA